TAGTGTCAAGTGCTGCTCAGTCATCTTCTCCTACTAAGTTCTGTTTGCCTAGACAAAGCCCCACCCAGAGTGAAGTAAGACATCTTTCCAAGCCCCAGTATTCATGCCAGAAGGATTCCACCTCATGCATGGGGGGAGTATATATTGGCAGATTTTTTAGTTGTATAGTTAAATGTGACCTGTCTTTGATACCATTACCAGGGCCAGAATAGTGGAAACAGCCCAATCCATGTTTTATTTTTTTCATGTATAACACAGGATGGGACATTGAAGATCCCCAAGTTCATTCAACAATCAATGCAAATGTGTGTTTCTGAAAACAGGCAAAAATATTTTTTCTGTAGATTTTCTTCAAGATTTATAAGCAACAATCGAAGCCCCACCGTCATAGGTGAGTCGTTTGCGAGTGCGAGCGATAAAGAAACCAGTAGCCAGGGGTTCAGAGGAGATGGAATCAGATTTAATACTCAGAGCGGTAGGAGCGACAATGACGGCCTCCCCAAGTGCAAGTCTAGAGATCATGCGAGACCAATCCAAGTCTGTTTCGGGGTCCTGATCGACGGAAATGTGTTTGCTGAGATGCTTGATCCAGGTTGGAGAGCTGAATCGGTGCAGAACTAGAAACGAGACTAGGTCGATGATCGCATCTGGAACTACCGTCGGCTCCTGTGTTGAGATTATCGTCCGCATCCCAAAGTGCCTCTGTTGTCGGATCAAAGAGGTCATCGATTCCGTGAACCGGGCCGAACACTGATCTGAATTCAAGTACTTGTGCGCCTCATCTAAGACTGTATATTATTATAACACGCAAAGAAAATAAAAATAAAAAATATGGTAAAGGTTGAGTAACTATAAAAGTTGAATGATTCTTACTCATATTTTTCTTCTCAAGAACGAAAACAGATGATCAGCAATGAGACTCACGCAAGACTTTTCCAGTTTCCATATGTCTTTCGACAAACAAACCTACAATGATCTCAAACATAGCAATGACCAAAGATGAATTGGTGAAAGGATCACGTAGATCGACAATAACCAAGTGACCAGGCTTGAAATGAGAGGACACGTCCGAGGATTTCTTTCCAGTCAAGTAGGAATCTAACATCTCAATCCTCATCTTGTAAGAACATTTCTGTGCTGGGTTCAAGGGCTCTTTAGACATCTTGTTCTTGAAAGCTTTCATTTCACATCACCCCCCCCCCCCCCCACAAAAAAAAAGCAAAAAAAATCGAATTAACTATGAGCTCATTGAAAACTTTTTTTTTTGAGTGAGTGTCAAAAACCTGAATGAAAAGGCTTACCATCGTAATTGAATCTGTCTGCACCCATTGACCTAAGGATAGTCATCGCTCTTTGAAGATATAACGGCATAATCTATGAGAAGCGAACAAATTCGAGTGAGGAAGAAAGGGCAAATTAACGGAATGGTGCCACGGAGATGACTTACGGCACTTTCATCAAAGCCCATTAAGGTTAACATCCTACTGGAATTTAGGTTTGATGTTGAGAGGTAAAATGGCATAACATTCACACCCTTCAAAGGTGTATAAATCTTTCTCATCGTTTCCAAACAAGTTGGCCTAAGATTTTATTGATGAGAACAAAATGCAAATTTGGGGAAGGCGAGTGAAAAAACAAATCAATTTCTGGGTGAAGAAGATGATGAATATTGAGAAAACTCACGACACAAGTACTGTCACTGGGACTGATGAAGTCGACTTGAAACCTAGTTGGGCTCGTGTTGCTGGTAATCCAAGATAAGCAGATTCACAGGGATAATTTACACTTCCTCTATCATAGTGTAAGCTAGTTTGAAGAAAAGAAACAGATCGATATCAGCTTTGAACGTGATTTTTTTCTTGGTTTGTGTTCGAAGACGAGCAGGGGTAGCAGCAATTTACCATAATCCAGCAAGAGGTTTGGGTAGAGTACCGATGCGTTTATCAACTATTAAGCAGCCTTCTAATATGACTGACGCACTATGACTTTTGCCGGATCCCTGTACGCCACAGATGAGCGTGCTGAAAGGCGTATTAACATTCAAGTATAGTTTTGGGTTCGGCGGGATTCTTGGGAAGCCATGTGCATATTGACCGACGATGCTACCGACGACAGCGCGTTGAGGGAACTGACCGGGAGAGGACTTTTCGGCTTCGCCTGTGACCAGGACCGCATTACGGGTACTGTGCTCCAGAGTCGAATCTAAATTACTGGTACCATCTGATCGTTGGACTTGTAGGAGGTCCACCTCCGGGTCGTTGAGTACGGGTGGCTTGAAATTCCGGACCGAACCAGAGCTCATTGAATTCGATTGGAACGTAAAGTCTCGGCCGAATCCAAAATTCAGGGTGATGGCGATGGTTGAAATATCTTGCTTAAGGCATAAGTGCCCTCATTCGTGAGGGATTTCAAGCAACTAAAGTTTGAACTTCTTGCATTAGAGATTAATTTGTAAAGGCAATAGCAGGAACCGATGAAGCAAAAGAGATCGGTCTGTACCTCGAAGATTCTAGTTAGGCTATTTTAGGAAGAGGCTGAGTAGAGATTTAAGGTTTGAGAGTCGAGTGAGAAACAGACGGTCAAGAAAAGATATGGGAGTGAAACTGAAGAGAGAAAAAGCAAGCAACGGTATCAGTTGTTTGCAAGTAACAATCTTGACCTTTTAGGTGCTTTCGTCTTACAATCTCGTGCCGACGATAGTGTTTTTTTATTGTGAAAACCTGTGATCTAATGATCAGTAGGCAAAGTTGGTTCTGGCGAATAACGCTCGATCAGGAAAGGGTCTAATCTGGGCACTTTGATTAAGTCTGGAGCTCACCGAGACCGTTTCCTACTAAAGGAGTTGGTTGCGTGGCCTAGAGTGGGTTCGTTACTGGTGTGCTCTGGGACTTGACAAGCGCTTATGGGTCAATTTTATTGTCAGCTATGCCCACAACTATTTGGTGGTGGGCCCTTT